GGGGATCTGCAGAGTGCCAGGCAGGGTTTGGGGGCTCACAGCCCATCCTGGGGATCTGCAGGGCTGCCCCAGCAATGGGGATGGGCTCCCAGCACTGGTGCCCCAGAGGTCTGCAGCAGCCCGCCCAGCCCCCAGCAGCACCTCCTGAGCCCACATCCCCAGGGCCCGCAGCTCCCCGGCAGCCCCGCTCACCTCCTTGGTCTTGCCCAGGATCTTCTCCACCAGGATGAGGTAGTTACCGGCGTCCCGGCTCACCAGCTCCTGCAGGCTCCAGCAGTTCAGGCACAGCCCAGCTGCGGGGACAGAGGCACGGTCACTCAGGGCACCACGGCCACTCAGGGCACCATGGCCACTCCCAGAGCCACGGACACTCCTGACCCCATGGTCACTCCTGGCCCCACGGGGTTACTCCCAGAGCCACAGTCACTTCTGGCCCCACAGGATCACTCCTGGCCCCATGGTCACTCCTGGCCCCACGGGGTCACTCCCAGCAGCCCAGGCTGTCCCCAGCTGGGGCTGGGGCATAGGCAGGACTAAGCTGGGCTTATCCAGCACCCCACAGAGTGTGACTCGACCAAACCCAGCACGGCAGTGCCCGAAGGAAAACTCCTTTGGGAGGGAAAGCCCCTGCAGAGCCCCAGGAGTGGGCAGGGCGGCCGGGCAGGGCTGCTCCGGGATCCGGGCTCAGAGCCGGGCTCGGCTCCCATCCCCAGCAGTGCCAGCGGTGCCAGCAGCGGGCACGGCACCCGGCAGCGCCGTGGGCGGCCGCGGAAGGATGAGGCTTTGCCATTGCTTTTCTGAGAAGTGCCCCAAGATGCCCTCTTCCTCCTCCGCCTCCCAGAGCAGCTCCTTCCTGGCCTCAGGGGTGGCATTTCCCCTCCAAGTGGGCACTTCAGAAATGCAGAAGCACCAGAGCAGAAGGCAGCAGCAGTGCCCACGGCGCTGGGCACGGCCCTGGTGCCGTCAGAGGCGACACCCAGAGCAGGGTGGACAGCAGGAGGCACCAGGGTGGGAAGCAGGAGGCTCAGGGGGTGGACAGCAGGAGGCTCCGGGGATGGGAAGCTCCAGGCTCCATTTCCTCCTGCCCCAGGGCCGTTGCCAGCAGCTCCTCGGCAGAGGGAGGCGATTTCTCCTGGCACTGCCCGGGAAGGGCCGGCTCGGGCAGCTGGCCCAGGGAGGTGCCCAGGGAAGCACAGCCCTGCCAGCAGCCACAGCAGCCCTGGGGAGCACAGCGAGCCAGCCCGCAGCTGCTGAGACACGAAGGTGGACGTGGGTGTCCAGCACAGGGCACCCCTGGCACTGCCACCCAGCCTGGGCAGAGACTGCCACAGCAAAACCCAGCAGGAGCCTGCAGACATCAGCTCAAAGGGTAAAACCTGCCCGCACCACCAGAGCCAAGCCCAGGGCTCCCCCTCACCAAAATCTCCTTTTTCTGCTCACCAGCAAGCAATAAAACATTGTTTTTCACACTCTAATTAGACCGTGGTCTCTCTCCTGCAGCACAAAGCCAGCCCTGAAGAAGTTCCCCCGCAAGGAAAAGGTTTTCCTCACAAGCACTTTTCTAATGGGGATTTTTATGAGTCACAGACAATTCATTTTCATTTGGTTTCTCCAATAAGTTCAACAGGAAGATCTTGTATTTACACCCAGCACAGACTCATCCAGGCTGCAAATCTGGGTGGCCAAACCTCCCAACTCCTCCTTGCTGAGTTCACAGCCCTCAGCTCCTCATCCCTTACTCAGGGGGGGCAATGTGTTGGAAACCATTACTCACCCTCTACCAAGCAACCTTGTGTGAAAGCACAGAAAAATAAAGCTTTACATGGTTTACAAAATTCAGCAAGATCTCAGCCCAAAAAGCTGTGACGTGGTGCGTGCTATTTTGGTGTTTGGAAAGGGTAAAAAGGGGAAAGCAGAGAAATTAGGAAATAGAAGTGAAAAATGAGGAAGGCGAAGGTTCCAGCCCAGCCAAGAGCAAGATGAAAGGATTCACTGACTTGTGAGCATCAGCCCTGCCACAAACAACAGCCTGGCCAGGACAGCAATCATGAAATCGTCATTTGTAGCTCGGGGAAGGATGTGACAACATCTCCGAAAGGCAGCAGGGGACAGCTCTGCTCTCCCTGAACCCTCCTGCGGTGACCAGCCGGCCGGGGTGGGGACAGCAGCTCCTGGGAGCTGCAGGGACAGGGGGGCAGCCCCTCGGGAGGGCACGGGGGGTCCTGGGGGTCCCCAGCAGCAGCACGGGGCTGGGGCACAGCACGGGCACCCACACCCAGCCAGGGCACGCTGCGGGTTCCTGGGATGACAACTGGGAGATGTTTGAGGTGCAAAGCTCCTGAAATCCTCCCAGGAAGGTCAGCTCCTTCTGCAAAGCCCAGGAGAGCCACGAGAGGGGCCTGGGAATCACCGGGGTGGGGCTCACGGGGACCCAGCTCAGCCCCAGCTCCAACCCCAGCCCTGCCCACCCAATCTTTGCTGATGAGCTGCAGAAATGAGGGAATTGGGGTTTAAACCCCCCAGCCGAGGAGCAGCGCCGCGGGGCTGGGGCTGTGAGTCCGGTCTGATGGATGGCAGTGGCATGAGGTGGGCTGGGGCACACGAGCCCTGCTGGGCACGGGGCTGCTGCGGCCACACGCTGCCAGGAGCAGGAATGGGGTCACACCTCCGTGCCCGCTGCCCAGCGCCCGCGAAAGGACAGCACACGGAGCCGTGGGCAGAAGTGCCCAGCCCAGCCCCCAGCTGATGCTCCAGCATGGAAGTGGCTCCAGCGGCGGCGGGGGGATGGCAAAGGGATTCTCTGGGATTTGACAGCAGGTGGGATCCTGTCTGCATCTCTTTGTTGGTCTTGTAGGGGAAGAGAAAAGCAGAAAGGGTTGAAAGAACTGCACAGACCAAAAGGAACCAGGATCTGACAGCCCCCGGAATCGTTCATCCACAAGAGGGTTTGGCCATGAATTAATCACAGCTCACAGGCACAGAGACAGAAAGGTCAAAATGACATTCAGGAATTATTTCTGTGGTGCTGCTCTGCCCTCACCACGCCAGCCCCAACCCCTGCACAGCTCTTCAGGCCAGCACGGTGCCTGAGGCAGGGCCAGGCTGATAGCAGCATCCCTGCTGAGTGTGCCAGTGCAGCAGGAGCACGCCCTGCCTTGGGGCGGCTGGCTGATGGCACAGAACCTCTCCTGGGCTGAGCAAAGCCTTCTCCTGCCCCTGCTCACTCAGGGACAGCTGGCAGCACTGCCCTGCTGAGTCCTACACAGGCCAGACCTGCCAGGACCTGCTCAGGGTCCTGCAGCACCTTCCTGTCCCAGCAGAACGCCCGGAGGACTGGCCAGGCTGCAGCTCCCTCTGACTCTGCAGGGGAAAAGCCTCAGCAGCAGCAGCAGCAGCTCCCTCGCAGCCAGAGAGTGCTGGGACAGACCCGGCAGGCCGGGGGATGCAGAGGGAGCCGGGGTTCACGGGTCACCTACCAGCCCATCTGCTGGACGCGGCGTCCCTGCCCAGCCCGTGCAGACACCTCTCCAGCGCGTGGTGGATCCTGTCCTCCGTGCACGTGGTGTGCTGCATTTTCATTCATCTCCTGAACCAAGGGCAAAGGAGGAGCAGAGTTAGTGAAGGGCTGCCCGTGATGGGAATGGAGGCAGCGCCTCGGCCGGGCTGCTGGCAGCAGAAGGGCGGCGAGCAGGAGCCCAGAGCCACTCACAGCCAGCTCAGCACCAGCCCAGGCCCGGGGAATGTAAATAAAGCAATGAAACACAGCCCGGTGCTGCTGGAGCTCCAGCCCGCAGGACGCGCTCCTGGGGCGGCTCTTCCCGCTGTGCCACCCACCACAGCCCGAGCCTCCTCTCCCGGGCACTGCTGAGGGAACATTTCCCGTGGGAAAGGTGAGCCCTGCCCTGGGACACCGAGCCCAGCCCCGGGACACCGAGCCCAGCCCCGGGACACCGAGCCCTGCCCTGGGACACCGAGCTCAGCCCCGGGACACCGAGCCCAGCCCCGGGACACCGAGCCCAGCCCCGGGACACCGAGCCCTGCCCCGGGACACCGAGCCCTGCCCCGGGACACCGAGCCCTGCCCCGGGACACCGAGCCCAGCCCCGGGACACCGAGCCCAGCCCCGGGACACCGAGCCCAGCCCCGGGACACCGAGCCCTGCCCGGCAGTGCAGCAGCATGTGCCTGGTACCTGCTCCTCCAGTGAAACTGTTTTTCTTAGATTACAGAAGAAAATCTTGGGTTGCAGCTGTTTACTTGCAAGATTTTACTGCCTCCCCTCCAGCTCACAGAGGAGCCAAAGATAGAAACGCGGAGCGAGGGAGGGAGCAGGCGGAGGAAGCCTTTGTAGGGCAGGGGACAGTGCGGGGAGAAAGCTGCGATTTTCAAGAAAAACTTCACCTCGGTGTTTGTCAAGCGAGAGCTCTGCGCAGAGCAGGAGATGAGGCTGATAAGATGCTCTCAAACCACAGGCAGGGTACCGGGGAGCCGGGGCAGCTGCTTTGACAAACATCCTCTGGGGTGCCTGCAGACAGCCTGTGCCATCCAAACCCGGCCCCTGCCCACCGAGCGGGGCAGGGGCTGCTGTGACACTGAGCTGAGGACAGCCCACAGCACGGCAGGGACCTGAGGAACCTTCCCTCCCCGGGCTCAGACCCTCACTGCAGGCCCTCCCCACTCCCTGAGCCAGGGGGAAAGAGGCAGCAGAGGAGGAACACAGAGATCGCTCCCAAAGAGCGACTTAGGCAGTGATTTCATCTCAAAGCAGAAGATAAAACTCCTGGCACAAGAAGAAAATCTACTTCTGGCATAACAACAGCGCCTGTGCCTGCTGGGTAACGGTGCTGAGGGGCAGGAACGCCATGGGACATCCCACTGCCCGCAGGAGGAAATGAAATCCTGAGTTATTAGCGGGAAATGGTGTTTTGGGAAGAGGAGAGTACCAGCCTTGAGAGAAGGAACAGGAGCAAGCCCAGGCCAGGCAGCCTTTCTGAGAAATGCCTCATTTACACCCAAAATGTGAGAATTGGGGAGCTCTCACAGAGCCGCAGCTGCAGCGCTCCCTCAGAGGCAGGGATCGCTGGGCTCTGAGAGCTGGTTTGAAGGAGCGGCTCCCACCGCGGGCAGGGAAAGCACCAAAGGCAGTTTCGGAGCCCTCCGGGTGTCGAGCAGCACCTGGAGAACGTGACACGACAGGACAAACAGCGGCCGGGTTTTACACCAGGCTGGCGCTCTCCCCGTGCCAGCAGCGGTGCCCAGCATCGCCCGGCCCCGAGCGATGCCACCGCAGGTCCCAGCCCGGAGGGGTGGCCCTGCGCTGCACGGGGGAGGCTCGGAGCCCGCAGCAGCGGCTCTGCCCGCTCTGCACCAGTGGTTTCACCGCCCAGCCCCTCCCGGCACGGCCCTGGGATCGGGGCAGGAAACCCACAGGAGCCTCGCAAAGCCTGAGACGAGCCAGCCCCGCTCAAAGGGCTCCATCCGACCCCTCGCTGTCGCTGCACAGGAAGTTATTCAATGGGATTTCCCAAATCCCAGCCCCAAGATCACCTCCGTTAGCAGCCAGAGCTTAGGGCTGGGCTTGGGAGGTGAAGGGTCTGTGAACGCCAGAAAAATAAACCCGAGAGGTGCAAACAAACAACAGCAGCTCCCGAGTGTAACTGCCTTTGTTTGGGAGATTTGGGGATAAAGGCTCCACTGAAAGAAAGGAAAAAATCCAAAATATCGGGAGCAGGTCCCAGCACTGCCCACCTCAGCTGCCCTTGGCTCTGGGATGTGCTGTCCTCCAGCTGGTGAAGGCACTGCTGGGGCATCAGGAGCAGACTGCCAGCTCTGCCAGCTCTGCCAGCTCTGCCCCAGCACTGCTGGCACTGCCAGCACTGCCAGCACTGCCAGCCCGTGGGGCCTCCCAGCATCCTGAACCAGCTGCCGAGGAGGAGCCTTTGCCACGTCCCTCTGCAGGAGCAGCCCTGGTGGTAATGGAGATGCCTGACCTGGAATTGAGGATTGAGCTGTCCCAAAGGTGTGCAGCCAAAGCAGCAAACTGAACCACAGGAGGAGCGAAATCAGGGCTGCAAGAGACTCAGCAAAAAGAACAAAATGATCTGAGAAACTGCTCTGAGGTGAGGAATTCTTCAGTGAATGGAGAGAATGTCAAAAATATCAATCTGTCCAGAGGGTGCACAAGGAGAGACGTAGAGAGTCTCAAGGAGTCAGAACAAAACCTTGCAGCTCATCATTTCAGAACAGTGTTTGTCCTCATCTGCCTGTGATTCAAAAAGCAAAAATCAAGCCAGACAAAAATGAAACTTCTCCCTCCTGATCAGCGGGTACATTTTGCTGCACACACCAGTTTAGACTGAGATGGCAAAGAGCGAGCCCCAGCAGGCCAGGTCTCCCTGGGAGCAGAGGTGCCCGGGTGGGAACCTGCCCCCAGGGTGGGAACCTGCCCCCAGGGTGGGAACCTGCCCCCAGGGCGGCTCCTGCGCTGCTTTCCCCTCCTGCAGCATCCCTGAGCCGTCCCTGGAGCTCCCGGTGCACTCCTGTGTGTGCGCAGCTCCCTGGCACTGCCACGCATTCCTGCTCCACGGGAAAACACTCGTGGCTCCCCGGGACCAGGGAGGGCTTTAACCGGGGCAAGGGCAGGTGAAACACCGGGGCAGAGTGGGGAACTCCAGCAATTCCCCTGCACGGGAGGCAGAGAGCAGAGCGGGGCTGGCGTCTCCTCCGTGGGGATATTCCGGAGGTGCCTGGACACAGCCCCGTGCCCTGAGCTCTGGGATGGCCCTGCTGGAGATCCCTCCCAGCCTGCTCCATCCTGGGATCCCGAGGGCACCTGGAACCCCGAGCTGCTCTAAAATCCAGCCCCCAGAACGGCCCCGTGCTCGCCTCAGCTTCTCCACCTTTTCTATTTTAACCGCAGCACTCACAGCTCAGGTCGCACCTGGATTCAGCTGGCCACTCGGGACTGGGTCTGTGAGGTGCCTGGACGAGCTTTTTTAAACATTTAATTATTTAGAAACAGAAAGAGCCCAGGTGGAGCCAAGGGAGGTCCCTGTTAATTAGCGGGCCGGGCCCTGCGCTATTAGGGACGGCCAATTAGCAGAATTGCCCGTGCCGGCGGGGCAGAAGTGCGAGGGGCTGCTGCTCACAGCTCTGGCAGCTCGCCGGTTCTCCTGCCCCCCTCGCCCGGCTCCGTGCCCGCACAGCTCCTGCCTGGAGCCGCGGCAGCTCCATCCCGGGCAGCCCCGGAGCTCCTCCTGCGCAGGGCCCCGCGCTCCTCGGCTTAAACACCGAGAAACCCCAAAGCAGCGCCTTGCCCGCGGTGCTCAGGGGCTGAGCAGCTCCTCCAGCTCGGTGTTCCAAAGATTTCCCTGGGTTCTCCCCTGCCCCAGCTGGATCTATAACTCGGCAGCGCCGGGAGCATCCCGGGGTGTCCCAGTGCCTGCCGGGGGGACAGAGCCCCAGCACTCGGCACCCCTAAACCAACACAACACAAGCTGGCGGTGTCCAGTGCCCCCAGAGGGAACCACAAGGCCACAGCTGAGGCCCAGAGTTGGCTGAGACCTCTCTGTGCCTCAGTTTCCCCTCCAGCAGGAGCAGCAGAGGCTCCTGCTCAGCTGCAAAGGTAAAGGTGAAGCAGAACTTTCTTTCAGCCCCTCATTTTTATCTCCTGCTCTAACCCTCCCAGTCCCATTTATAAACCTGGCAGGAAACGCTGGCAGAGCAGGACATGCCAAAAAAGCATTTTTATAATAAAATTCCTCACCGAGGTTATTTCTAACCCGCAAGAACCACTTGCCTTAACCAAGATATCCTGCCACGGGCACCCAGCCACCCATCCTCAAACTCTCTGAGCAGCAAAGCAATGACACACAGCCAGAACTGCCCATGCAGCAGCAAATTGCAGAAATAAAGCAGAAAAACACATGTTCCCAGCAGCAGTGTAAGCAGGGGAGCTGGATTTGACCACCGGCACCAGAACTGCCCTGGAACTGGTTTGGGTTTTTTTTTAATCCCAAATTCCTCAGAAACAAAATACAGAACTGCCTTGTGCAGACCCTTGCCGCTGCAGCAAGCACTCAGCTCAGTAAATCTAATTAATGAGCCAGGAAAAGTGTCACTCGTTTGCTAACTGCTGCAGCCAGGGCTGCCAAACAGACAGATAAAGGATTTAGCTGGGGCCTATTCCAGCCGAAGGAGCTGGGAACCTGGCAGGGAGAGCAGCAGATCAGAGGGGGCTGAAAAGAAAAGGAGAGGAGGGGGAAAAGGAAAAAAAACAATTCCACTAGATTAGCGCTTTGCAAATGCAAGCATGTAAATCAGCTTAGGGGCTATAATGCCACCCTTGTGAGCATCTGGGCACAGCGGCGGGCAGGGCCTGGCTGGGCTGGGGGTCCCATGCCAGGGAGCCCTGAAAAACCAGTGGCTCCCTGAAAATCCAGCGGCTCCCTAAAAAAACCAGAGATCCCTGAAAAACCAGCGGCTCCCTGAAAATCCAGCGGCTCCCTAAAAAAAACAGAGATCCCTGAAAAACCAGCGGCTCCCTGAAAAACCAGAGACCCCCTGACAAAACCAGAGACCCCCTGACA